TACTCTTCTCTATTTTGCAGTCAGTAAATGATATAGTTTAATTTCTTTTTCAATTGCTGGCAAGGGCAATGATGATAATAATAATAATGATAATTGATTTATTTCAAATCTGCAATACACATAAGGAAGACAATATAATAATTGTATATTAGATCTGTAGAAATCAAAGAAAAACACACAAGACAATAAATTACAATTCATAATAATCATTAATGTATCTTATGAAAGTCAAAAAATACAGAGTTAATGGTCAATCCATCACACTACCAATGCCTCTCCAGCGAGATCTGGATCCTTGTAGATCTATATAATAGTAATAGTAATGATAATAATAATAATGAAGATGCTTAAAGTTTTTTCATTTGGCTACATTCATATAGTAACATTATTTTAAAGCGTAATTACTAAATTTGTATACCAGTGATTCAGTTGTTCTTGATCCAAGCTATTATAACCTATAAAATGTATAGTAACTGGTCATTGGTATTTTCTCATTGAGCCCTGCAATAATTACGCCCACACATTTTCTTACAATAACTGCCAAAACCACAAAAATGTAATTATTTTACCATCTGGAATGTGTGGCTGTGAATGTGTGGATAACTTCAGCAGAGTTGCAGGACGGTATTGTTGACTAGACAAGTTTGACTGTACATGTATGAATGCAGTTTAAATTGGTAGCAACTCTAAAAGTTTGTCAAGAATCCAAATGTGATTGGAATCACCAGTGGCGTATCTAGACTCTGGATGATGGTAGGGCAAAGGTGGCGCGCGAAGCGCGCCGAAAAAATTTGCGGTTAATTAATATTCACAATGGGCGTGTCTTTAATTAAAGTACGTCTACGCCCACAATAATGATGATGAAGTCGACTAGCTCGGCTTGCTCTTTTCTTCTCTAAAGTTCTCTTTTGAGTGTTTTCTTTATTTATTGTGTTCTCTGGCCTTGATCAAGATTGGAGATATCTTAAAATTTTAACTACAGTAAATTAGAAGGCAATATTAATTTTGATTCAGTAGCAGTTGGTAGGGCAAATGCCCTACCATGCCCTACCTTGGATACGCCACTGGGAATCACAGCTCAAAATTGAAACACAACATGACAACATGTATAGAGCTGTTGCACGGAAGTAATTAACGGGAGGGTGTGGCTAAAATTGAGCTAAATTGTCCGCCATGTTGGGTGGCAAGAAGGCCAAGGATAGAGCTGTTGCACGGAAGTAATCAACGGGAGGGTGTGGCCAAGAATGAATGGGGGAATGGAGAAAAAAATTTAAATAAATTCTGCAGTTGACATTCCAGGCTAATGCAAGGTAGGAGATGAAGATATTGAGTAAAGAAGTCTCTATAATATTCTGCAGCGAAGTATGATATCTCTTTGATGAAAAATCGCAGTTTCTTTCCATTCCTCCATTCGTTGCGTGTACATTCTTGCCACTCAAGATGGCCGACAGGAAGCTCCGCCTACCCCGTTGATTACATCCGTGCAACAGCTCTATGAATGGGGGAACGGAGAAAAAAATTTAAATAAATTCTACAGTTGACATTCCAGGCTAATGCAAGATAGGAGATGAAGATATTGAGTAAAGAAGTCTCTATAATATTCTGCAGCGAAGTATGATATCTCTTTGATGAAAAATCGCAGTTTCTTTCCATTCCTCCATTCGTTGCGTGTACATTCTTGCATAGATACTATATTGGTGTTTATAGTATCTATGATTCTTGCCACTCAAGATGGCCGACAGAAAGCTCCACCTACCCCGTTGATTACATCCGTGCAACAGCTCTATAAACGTATAATGTATCAGGTAAATTATAAAAATGAAGAATGATTGTTCTATTCATTTACTTTTGGTAAAATACCCTGTACTGTAGTACAGGGACTTTGGCCCAATTTTAAAGCAAGTTTAAACAGTTTAAAGAATTCTAAATGGAAATACAGTTCACTCAAAATTGAAATACAACGTAAAAACATGCATATGCATTAGAAAAAAAACTATAAAAATTAAAAAGTCTCTCTCTTTCATTTTTGGTGAAATTTGACAAAGGACACTGTATGGGATTTTGGTCTGAAATTTGTAAAAAATCTAAATGTGATTAAAATCATCTCAAATTTTCTGCATGACATAAAAAACATGTATCTGTATCAAATTTTTTTTAATGGAGAATTTATTTTCAAAATTTTTGACAAAATATCCTGTACTATAGTACAAGATGATTGTTACCTTAAGCCTACTATTATTTGCATCTACTAATTTTAGCAAAATCAGCAAAAGTCATGTTTAGCATTACTAATTTTAGCGTTTTTAACCAAATTAACTATAAATAATAACCATTGTAATGAATAATTATTATTTTGGCGTCTATTCAATTTAGCGATTTAAAGCTCTCTGTCTCTCTCACTAATATAGCTAAATTTAGTAGACGCTAAAAATAGTAGGCTTAAGGTATTAAATTTTTAAGCAACTGTATCAACACATATGTACATGTATCACTAATCATTAAGAGTTGGTAGGAGGTCATTGTGGAATCATACTATTTGGAGAATCATGTGATCAATGCTAACCACTGGCTAGAATGAAATCTTGGTAAGTATATAAGTCTTTCCATTAATATGCATATACTCTCTCTCTCTTTAGATGGTCAATAGGAGGATTGATCAGTAGAGGCAATTTACTAAAATCAGATCTTGTGCCACAATCTCAAGACTACACAGTGACTATTAAATGCACTCATAAAATTTTATTCTCTTTTTTTAACACAAACTATGTAATGTATAGCTATATGCAAAACAAAAATTAACTGCTGCACTAAAACTAGTGAAAATGTTTAACGAGTTATTAAGGAATTCTAGGACATACATTTATTGTGGTATATGCTCATAAACATCATCAGGTGATGTTTGACATTCATCATAGACTCCTTCATTCTCTTCACTTTGTTTAGTCTTGTGAATTTCATATGGTTCACATACTTGCATTGCAATATCATCATCAACTCTATTAAAGTAGTGAATAGCTTAAAGTAATAGAATAAACTAACTTTGTTTGCTTATTACAAGTACATGCACTTTTCTTCCTATAAGAAGACAACAATAAATTATTGTATGTAACTAGATACCTTACAAAGCAGTAGATGTGAACAACAACACTGACAGTTAGTAGACCACACAATATACCCACTAACACACTAAGAGCAATGACACTGTCTGATGTAGCACAGTTAGATGATAATTGTAGTCTTAATGTCTCATTAGTAATAACTGTCCATTCTCCATATCCATTAACAGTGTATGCACGTACACCAAAAATAAAGTAAGATTCATCATTAACACCAGTAATGTTGATATATTTATCAGTTGAGTTACGTAGTTGTAATATTTCAGTATTAAAGTCATCATAACTTATCATCAAACAGTTACCATCAAACTGTAGGATATGATATCCTATCTCATATGTGATAATGGGATAGTCTGATGGAATATAACTAGGTACACTCCATGAGATAACAGCCCATGTAGTGTCCATGATACTGGACACTGAACCAACTGGACCAGGTACTAAATAAAGACACGTTGTTACTAAACTGATGTAGCATAATAACTATATACCTAATCCAATCTCTACTACAATAGGATAACTGAAGGGACCTCTTCCAACAGAATTGACAGCAGCTACACTGATGTTATACTCAGTGCGGAGTACTAGATCATTCAATATGATATATCTCTCAGTACTGGTGAGGTTGTATGTGATACTACTGTTACTGATCATCACTGTATAGCCTGTGATTAGACCATTACGCTCAGAACAATTGACCTCATTCCAAGTGAGATTATTAATTAGTAATAAAGTCAAATAATCAGGTACACCAATAGGAGCTATGCAGAAAGTATATATAATTTAATTATATAAATAGTATGCATACTTGATGATACTGTATCATCACTAATTGAAGTAGGATCAGATCCTCCTAGTACATTACCAGCTCTCACTGTGATGGTATAGTTCATACCACTGTACAGACCTAGTAATGTATAACTGTATGTTGTAGTGGACTGATGAGGACCAACAGAGACTATCTCATTCACTGATGATAACTGGGGACAAGATGGAGTATAGGAGATGGTGTAGTATGCTACATAGTTGTCACTACTGGGAATAGTCCAGTTCACTGTAATACCAGTGGTTGAGACATTAGATACTGAGAGACTAGTTACTGGACTAGGAACTAGAACAGATATCAATTTCACTCTTTCAATAATAACAACTCACCATCAAATCTTAACACTGCTACTGTACTATTAACTGAAGGAATATCTATATATGAGTACACACTGATGGTATAGGTACTCATTAGTAAGAGATCTGTTAGTATAATTTCATCTTCACTGGTAGATACTACATTCTTCATTACACCTCCAGTAGTATACTCAATCACATGTCCATTAGTCTCAGATGAATTGGTCCAGTTCACTTTGATACTATTAGCATTTAATATAAACCCTCTCACATTATTTGCAGAACTACTAGGAGCTTGAGAAGAGACATATAGGTATCTTTTATGAATTAAAGTATATAATCATACCATGTAAAATCACAGATTGACTGTAGTTGACTCCTCCAATCATTGCTATACAGGTAACATTAACTGACACTCCCAGTGGATCAGGATATACCAGTAGTGTGTTGTTGTATGTCAGGACATCAATTAATGTATACATTGAGTTACTCTTCATCACTCCATTCACTAACCAGTAAACATCAACTGAAGGACTTATAATATCAGTAGTTGTGAGACAATCAATACGATATTGAGTGTTATTGAGTTGTGTAATGGATGAGACTAGTGTCCAATTGATTGAATTAATAACTAGAAATACATCAACAATTTTACAAGTACATTCAGTAGCAATACCTGGTAAGGTCTGTACACTGATTGTACTACTAGCAGGTCCCAGTAATTGTTGATAGGCTCTGACTGTGATGCTATAATTTGTCTCAATATTCAGTCCATTCAGTGTGATTGCATTATTACTACTTCCCTCCACCTGTACTGTCTGCACAGTGTCTGTGTCACTAGTGACATTGACTACATATCCATCAGCATCAGATGAATCAAGTGCAGTCCATCTGACAGTGATAGTGGTAGCTGTCTTGCTGACCTCAGTAAGAGAAGAGGGAGCAATTGCTGGGACTAATAGGGAGATATACATGTATGTACATAATTATTAGTATTACCTTTTATGGTTAAAGTACGTATTCTATCAGCACCACTAGGATTATCCAGTATACACTGATACATTTGATCTCCAGTGGTTGATTGATTGATTGATCCACTACTGACAGTCATTCCATCCCATGTGATATCAACAGTATATCTTATTGTGTTGGTATTACTAACTAACACAGTACCAGGACAATTACTATATTGATCATTACAGTTAGTGTAACTAGCCAATGCAATACTACCAATGTTCATACTAATACCATATTCATAGTGTCCAATTTTGGTACACTTCAGTTTGTATTCCTGAGGATATAATGTAATATCAGAAGGAAGATCAGCAACAGTAAATGATTCTATCTCTGCATATCCTACAAATGAAAATTAGTACATGAATTAGTAAGTGATTATAGTCTCCTCTTACTGAATATATTAGCAAAGATGATGTTAGTGTTAGGATCTGAACAATCAGTGGGTAGACAACACTTGTACCAGCCTTCTTGATCTCCTAGTCCCTGAGCAAGATAAAGATTGAGAGTAGCATTAGGTGAAGTGACATTAGTACAACGAAAAGGATCACTGGCACTATTACTGTTACAGTCAACAGGATCATCAGTATCAGCAACTCTAACCCACTGACCAGTAGTTAGACTAGTACCAGCTAACACACATGATATAGCTTCAGTAACTGCATTGACACTACTATCCCAAAAATATGATCCATGAGGATAACAGTTTCCATCATGCATCAGGAAGATAACTATATAATAAGTTCTTACAAATCCATAACTTACATTAAAATAAAATACCTTCTTGCTGACAAATAGGAGTAAAGACACTAATTGTACTACTAGCAGGTCCCAGTAATTGTTGATAGGCTCTGACAGTGAACCTATAATAAGTAAGTTCCCTTAGTCCATTCAGTGTGATTGTATTATTACTACTTCCCTCCACCTGTACTGTCTGCACAGTGTCAGTGTCACTAGTGACATTGACTACATATCCATCAGCATCAGATGAATCAAGTGCAGTCCAACTGACAGTGATAGTGGTAGCTGTTTTGTAGACCTCAGTAAGAGAAGAGGGAGAAGTTGCTGGTACTATTAAAAACACAAATATTTTTGGTAGAGTTACATGTACAAGTATATATGTAGATTAACATTACCTTTTATGGTCAAAGTATGTGTTCTATCAGCACCACCACTAGGATTATCCAGTACACACTGATACATTTGATCTCCAGTGGTTGATTGACTGATTGATCCACTACTGACAGTCATTCCATCCCATGTGATATTAACAGTATATCTTACTGTGTAGGTACTACTCACTAACACAGTACCAGGACAATTACTATATTGATCATTACAATTAGCGTAATTAGCCAGAGCAGTATTATCAATGCTCATGCTAATATCATAGCCATAATGCCCAATTTTAGTACAATTCAGTTTGTATGCCTGAGGATAAACTGTTATATCAGAAGGAAGATCAGCAACAGTAAATGATTCTATCTCTGCATATCCTACAAATGAAAATTAGTACATGCATCGGTAAGTGATTATAGTCTCCTCTTACTGAATATATTAGCAAAGATGATGTTAGTGTTAGGATCTGAACAATTAGTTGGTAGACAACACTTGTACCAGCCTTCACCAGGTTGCTGAAGATATATGCCATGATTGCTTAGTATGTGAACACTGAGACTAGCACCTGACCCAGTAGTACATTGAACATTTGCATTGTTACCACCATCACAAGGAACTACTCCATTAGGACCAATCCATTGTCCACCATTCAGAGTAGCACCAGGTAAACCACACTCTAGAGGAGTTGGTCTGATGCTAGGGTCTGGAAAATATGATCCATTACTGTGACAGTTTCCATTATGCCGCAGGTAGATACCTATAAAACCTATACAGCTGTTATTGTACACATCCAGTGTCTTACCTGAGGAAGGTGGACATTGGCTAATAACTTCACTGACACCCAAAAAGAACAAAACTACCAATGATACTGACAATGCTGCCATTTTATGCATGCATGACAGTTTTACATTAAGTAGATATAAGTGTATCACCATTAAAATTTGTTTACTTTTCCTTAAAATAAGTTATTACAATTTAAAACAATAACATGTTTACCGTGACAAAATATATGCAGTTAACATCAGAAATTATTAACCCTTTAAATGACACACAATTTCTAATTTTTTATCAATTTCTGGCTTAGTCTACATGTATATTGAAAACTACATTTTGACACCTGAAGAAAGTGTAAAAATAGCTAGTAAGAGTTCATTAGAATTGGACTGTTGATATCCTCAGATACCATTAATCAGGAACTTAAAATAATGCAGTAAAAATTTGTGTTTTAAAATTGTACTGCGAATGTGATTTAATTTTTACATAATAAGACTAAGTCATGTATTATTGAATGTGATGTTATTTTATGTGCATAATTCTAATCCAGTAGAGTTAAAATAGATGGATACTATTATACAAGCAGACACCCATTATAATCAAAAACAGTATAGACAAGTCAGTACATTGATAAATCTTCTTGAACTAAAATCACTTTCCAGTTTGATTATACTGTACTTAAAAACTCAGCAAAGCTGACAAGGGATACTTACAACTTGCAGCACAAACTGAACAGGTACACATATATTATTGTAACTGCGTTTGACAAGCCAGACCATTTCCTAGCCTACAGTCGTTTGGGTAGGCCAACAATTTGTCTATAGTGCAAAAATGACAAACAAGATGCAGCATTGAATGGCCAACATATGTACGTGTACATGCTCAACGGTTGTTGCTTACATTATTCTGATACATTAATAAATAAACCATGCACAACAATGGCAGGTACATGTATGTTCACATTTGGATATAGAATAGTCAATTTGTGAAATTTAGGTCATTAATAGAATAATTCATCTTCAGTATCATAATGTATTATATCTGGGCTAATGGATAGGTAGCCTAATAGTTCAGTCATTGATGGGGTTGGTCTGCTAGTAGGAGAGTGTTCAAGTAAAGCTTGTGCAGCTTCCTGACTGACTGACCGCCATTTTGAAATCAACCCCTCCAACTGAGTCAAATCATTCTACAATATGAAAATGAGTGATACTATAACTTAAACATTACTAGACAAATTAAAAATTTAAGAACTATATGTACATAAAACTTTGCATTAGTATAAATTAAATCATCTACAGTTATTATCATCATTTTAAAAACACAGTATATACAGCCCAGCTACATACATCTATACAGTAGTATATTAGAGAAAAGACTGACCTTTGTCCTATATAGCTTGACCAAACGAAGCTTCTGCAATTTATTATCTTTCTCGTGGAGCTTTTCCATCAACTGTTTCTTTTCTTTACTTAGTTCTATCAAAGTCTCTTTAGAATGGTCACCAGTACTTGTAGATGCAACAGAAGCATAAGTGCTTGTGTCTATTGTCTTAGGTTTTTTAGCTGATCGAGGAGGAATAAATTTCGAATGACTTCGTCTTTTCTGTTGCAATCTATTACTCTTAGTTGACGATCCTTTAATGTCCTCAGTTTGTTTCACCTAATAAAAGGGGTGTCTCAATGTAGCATGGAAATGATATAAAATTCAGGTTGGTTTCAGAGCAATTTTTGGGTTATAGGTTGGCCAATGATGCTACTTTCTAAAAGTAAAATTAAGGTCATTCTGATACATATTGCTTGACACAAAATTTTGGAGCTACATGTACATGTATAAGCCCTTTTAAAATATTTAAAAGTAGCCCATGATTTTTCTGAAAAATGGCTCTAAAATCACCCTCTTTTTTTATTCCATTTTCTGATACATATTGATGTCCTTAGGTTATGTAGCAAGTTTAAGTTGATTCCGACTGTAAATTATTTTCTCACATCCCCAATTTGTATGATATTCTCTATACATACTGTACACTGACATTAATGGGAGTTACTTAGTATGTTTCATAATTTGATTTTAAAAATTGCAATTTGCAGATTTTATATTGGCAATTTAATAGCACATGTGCTCAGAATGAAACAAAAATGATGGCTTTTTACATTCGCAATTGTTCAGTGAACTGCCAATCCACTGCTAATCCACCTCAGGCCAAACTAAATATGTGCATGTACATGCATGCTACATGCAGTGTATATTTTAATGTATGTGACTATGTCCTTAACTACAATGGTGAATAATTTATCTACAACGACAATGGTAATGTTAAATTTGTTATGATGACTGGCATTTAATTTTATAGCTCTAAAAATAATCTTATAACAAGTTACCTTCTTTTCTTGTGGATGACACAGCCAATACAAATCACAAGACTCATCACCACTCGTTACTGTCCTCATATTAACTTTACCCTCTTTGATAAGCTCATTTACTAACAACTGCAGTGAAAAAAAATAATAACGTAGATCTAAATTATAAAAAGTGAAAATAAATATCAACTCTATTTTAGTAGCCCAATAGTTCCCATACCTTTAAAGATATTTCTGGCCTTTCTCTATTTTCATACCATTCCTCCAGTTCAGAATATTCAAAAAGGTGAGAATCAGAAGAATTAAGATAGGCCAGGAGCTCTGCTCCAGCATCCATTTCACTACACGTGTTTTTAGGATACATTTGGATATGTCCGTTTATTCCTCACTCAGAAGGCAGAAGCCACACCCACCAAACCCCAAGCTTCAAAAGGTGATGTCCTTTTCCTCTCTTTTAAGACAGTCTTTTCTTTCCCCTACTCGCTCTCTATGGCGGAAGGATACAGGAGTAGCCCTGTGCAAAGCTTTAAGCACGGGCCCAGTGAGTAGTAAATTCATTAACTACCTTCATTTACTAATTCCCTTTAGACCAAAACGCTAACACTTATAGAAGGTGACGGGATTGGACCAGAAATATCAGATTCTGTCAAGGAAATATTCAAAGCTGCCAAAGTACTCATTTATTATTATTCACAAACCCACACAAAGTTTGCCACTCCCTAAAATAATTTTTTCACACCTTGATTATTTTTAATTTTTTCCCACCCACTCATTATAATTAATTCCTTATAAGGTTCCCATAGGATGGGAGACTGTGAGTGTGAAGCCCGTCATTGGAGAGGGTGGTCGTGTGACCGTACCTGAGGATGTCATTCATTCAATGAAGAGAAACAAAGTTGGGCTGAAAGGTGTGGTGGGTGGGGGATTGTGGGTGTGGTTTAATGTGATTTATTAATTAGGTCCACTTGAGACACAGATTGGTAAAGGAGCTGTTTCACTTAATCTGACATTGAGGAGGTGAGAGAGGGAGAGAGAGAGAGAGAGAGAGAGAGAGAGAGAGAGAGAGAGAGAGGAAGAGGAAATAATGAGATTGGGATAATTACATGTATTTACTGTATGGCTCTATTTTTTGGTTGGTCTAATTATTGATCAAATTTTGTCATTTATTTTTTGACGAAATTTTTAACTGACAAAATTTTTTGCTCCATGTGGGTACGAGTAGTTAGTATGCAGATTAATAACAGAAATGACAAAAATTGATTTTAGCAAGATTTTGAGAAAAATTTGGAGCTATACGATAATAGATACCGTATAACAGGAATTTTTATTAAGTGCTTATTTTGTTTGTTTTGTTGTCCAAAAGTTGTAACAAAAAATTTTAGACAAGGAAAATTTAAAATGAAGTGGGTGTCACTGGATTTAATGATTAATAATTATCATTAATATTTAATAATGAAATTAAGATCAACAAAAATATCTTCTAAGACCCTGCTTGGATAGTCAATAGAATTTGATTGCAAAGCAAATTTCCTGCCATACAGTAATACAATTGTACTTGTACATGTACACATGTACATGTACATGCAATTTAGGGATTGTGAAAGGAAGTTAGTTGTTATTAGTGGTTTTAGAATTAAGGAAGAATAGGAAGAAAGATAATAATTACATACATGTACTTGTAAATACAAATTTATTGTATTTTTAGAGTATTCAATCTTTATGCTAACCTAAGGCCGTGCCGATCAATAGAAGGATACAAGACGGCATATGATAATGTTGATCTTGTTACTATCAGAGAAAACACTGAAGGAGAATACAGTGGCATTGAACATGAGGTACTGTACATGTACATGTACATTGTATGTGTATAAACACACACAACTAATACTGTATAGCCGGAAAATTTGGCGGTCTAAAACTTAGGCAGTTTTGTATCGAAATTGCCTAAATATAATATTGGCATCTCCTAATTTGGCAAATTTACTATCTTGTCTTTTTAAAGCAATCTCAGCTTTTCTTGAAGCTGCTCCTTTCCCACAATCTTGACTGAAATACTTCAAAAGTGGGCCATTTGGAATTTTCTATCAGTGTCACGTGCTCAAGACGGAATCTGCCCATTGAAATTATTACTGATGGTTATAAATAATATTCGCAGTTTTATTTTGAGCCTCCAATCCGCCAAATTTAATTCTCCATCAAATTTTCCGGCTACACAGTACCTGTTGTACATATTTTATTAATATTTATTGTTGCTGTTTTTTTGTTGTTATTGTTCCTGTTTCAGGTGGTTGATGGTGTGGTCCAAAGCGTGAAGTTGATTACTAAAGATGCCTGTTTACGTGTGGCTCAATATGCTTTTGAGTATGCAAGGAAGTCAGGGAGGAAGATGGTGACTGCAGTTCACAAGTCAAACATAATGTAAGACAGTAATACTACATGTAGTTCATTTGCACAAGCGTAGCCCTCTAGAGCAATTTTGTATATTAAACTATATTAAGCCATATTAAAGCAAGCATCATAGTCAAGATTATCGATCCATGAGAATCTATTTTCTTATTGTACTTGATGGTAGACGGTGTAATTTCACAAAAATTAAATTTACAATTTTTTTCTGCTTACAGATTTTACTAGACTAATATACAATGTACATGTAAAATGCATGTACATGTACATGTATGTGTATTTGATGCTGGAAGCACAAGCAAAAGCTTTGCTCTCCCTAATATGTAGGAGCTTGTGCTTAGTTTTTGCTTGATTTCTACAAAGTTACAAAATAATAATTCCCGAAAACTACATGTACGGTATTGTCAATTTTTGTCAGGCCCCCCTCCCTCCTTCCCTCTAGATCAAATCTTGTATAAAACCTTGTGCTAGCTACTGAATAATTATCTTTTGCTCTTTCTCTGATAGTGCAGTTTGAGTCAAGCTTTTATTTCTTTTTGTGTGTTTACATAAATTTGTAATTATTGGTTTTTAGTGATAATTTCCTGGCATGACAACTTTACCACTTTATGTAAACATGCTGCTGCCTTACCAGGTTTTAATCATTATTTATTGTTTTGCTATAATGCCCTCTATCAACACTGTACATGTACACATGTTCAAGTTCAAGAAAAATCACGGTACACATGTACATGTACACATACATGTACATGTGTACTGTACCTGTATATGTACACATACATGTCACTAAACCCTTTTTTATTAATCCACAGGAGAAGAGGTGACGGGTTGTTTCTCAAGTGTTGCTTTGAGGTCTCTGATAAATATAAGGACATAAAATTTAATGAGATGTACCTGGACAAGGCTTGCTTATTGGTAAGAGTTTGGATACAATTTTAACGACAGATAATTATTGTACATGTACATGTATATAGCGGGGGTACATGTAATTTAGGAGGGGATTAATTTTGGTGAATTTGGCATTTTGATAACCACTTGCCACATTAAAACCCACCATTTTGTATCATTATACACATGCTCAATGGCACATAGCCACAAATTCACCAAATTAAAACTCACCAATCATCAAAGTTTCAGCAATTCACTAAAATTTACATGTACATCCTCTGCTATACAGTACATGTACATGTACATGAATGTGTACATCGATTTATCATTATTTTATCATTTCCTTATTCCCTTGTTTATTAATCAACACTCTTTCTGTTTTGTCTTTTCACTCTATTATTTCTCTTTCATTCTCTCCCTCTCCAATAGCTGGTACAGGATCCCTCTCTGTTTGATGTTCTTGTGATGCCTAACCTCTATGGTGATATACTCAGTGATCTTTGTGCTGGGCTGGTTGGTGGATTGGGGCTCACTCCCAGTGGTAATATAGGCAGTGATGGAGTAGCTCTTTTTGAAGCTGTAAGACCATCAATATTATAGTACAGTACATGTACATGAAAATGATAATGGAGAAAAAGACTGCATGTTTACTATAATACTGTACATGTACATGTACAGCGTATAATACAGTATGTATTTTCATCAATGTACATATACATGTACATGTACGTGAGAATGGAGAAGAGTCTATATTTGTACTTTTATAGTTACATTGTACATGTACATATGCATGTCAATGGTTATTGTGATTTGATAGCCTTTATTGTTACAATAAAGCCCACTATAGATTTCAATGTACAATATATGTATAATACTTGGCTCATGTTTCATGACAGATGTACATGTACATGT